GTCACGGTTGCGCTGCGCCATTGCCCTATTTCACTATGACGTCACATCAAAACAATCTATTTTTTAAACGCAAAGGATCATGGTCGTTGGAGGGGGTCAAATCAACGCAAATTCACCGAAAATTGTTCTAAAACCCGTATCAATCCACGAAGAGAAGTCAAACTCTCAGAATATTTTTTAGTACATATTAACACAAATTGTATCTGAAAACCAGGCCATTTTAGACTAAACTGTTTCGCTAGGAGCAAATTTTGTTGAATTTTCTATTGGTTTTGGCGATTCTATCCCCCACATAAACAAGCAGTGACGTTATAGTGAAATAGGGCAATTGATCGCTTTTTAATTGTCGTTCAGTTAATACGGATAAAACCTCAGTTGAAAAAATTGATGAAGTAAGGGGTAAGTGTCAATTTTAAAGATATCCGGCGAACTGTGAAATCGCACACGGCTTCCACTGATATCATTCAGTTATAACCACACTTTGACTAATGATCAGCTTATCATTTACCCATCATATTAGAAAATCCCCTAATCGATAATAGATCTAATGAAGAAGACAGAACGACTGACTGATGTTTTTGATCTGAGTTACACGACTGTTGATTTTGCTCATTTCGTAAGTTTATTTAGTTAGCCAACCGTCTGGAGAAGACATCCGTGGTTTTCATTGAAATTTGATCATTCGAAATACTCAATTCGGTCACCGAAACAGCTTTTTTAATTACGACTTTTTTGTTTTACAAAACTAGGACACCCAACAGGGCTGCAGSTAAATTAAAAAGACTTGCCTTCTGACTCTTAAATTATTATTCACTAGTGTCACGTACCTTGAATTGGACTGAACAAATTTTGGCAAATACATAGAAAGAGAGATGTCGATAATAAATAAGAGCTCGTAATCGGCCGATAACCCGGCGCAGAAAATAACTTTTACTTCCTGGCTCATAGATTTCTTTCAGCTTTCATCAAGACAATTGAACGAATACTTTGGATTTCTAGGTTAGATCTGATTGCGTTTTAAACCAATTTACTACTATTGTTGCTGGAATGAATATAAATTTGAATTTGTTTTCAGTAAATGTCAGGTTATCGGAAGATACTCCGTCGGACAGTTAGGGTTCTCATTTCAAAGCATGCATATTTATTCTAGCGAGTGTATTTACAGTTCGCCTGTCAAATCATTGTATTATTGGTCTTGGCCTGACGCGAAAATTAAAAATGAGTGGAGCCGTGATAAGAGTGGATCGTGACTGACGAAATACTTRGATGACAGAACAAGAGTCATAAGTAAAGGATTGTTCATTCAATTGTACTTAACCCTTTCGGATTTGATATATCAAAACGCTCACGTTTTCAGCTGCGGTGATTCAGATCCGGTCAAAAAAATGCCCATGCTATCACGTATGAGTTACAACTTGATATGGGTCAGCATAAAGCCGACGTTAAGGTTGAGATTCTCATTATTGGATTCAAAAAAGTGACACAGCATCATATTTTCTCTTTTGTTTATAGCTGGGATCAATGGAACTGAACCGATCAGTAACGAGTAGAAATGATGGAAGTGAGCATTCCCAAATAGATCGAAGGCAACGACAGCTACGGCGAAGGCGTCGAAGGAGAGTGATCAACAGTACATTGATATGTATAGGAATTATCCTGATCATTGGATGCTTCGTTATGGCTTCATATTCTTACGTTTTTCTGGAGGATTGTAAAGATTGTTCTTCGCAACGAGAGGTCGATGTTGCTAAGGTCTTTCGGTTTTTGTCGGCTGGTCTATTTTTAATCGGGGTTTTCATGGTGGCTTTTTCTTTATGTACTTATCAGGGAAAACACTCCGAAACATTTGGAAATTCGGATTTGAGAAGAGTCTCTCTACAGACTGTCGCCTGTGTTATTTCAGAGACCGCAATGGAAAAATCTCCTTCAGTATTTTGTGGCGCTTACAGTAATCCAGGATTAAATTGCAGCATTTCGGACTTGACTGAACCAGTTCCTGAAATGACAAGTGGTGCTCATGATCATGTAATAGCAGTTAGTTGCTATAGAAACAGTGGAAGTGAAGTCGAGGCTCCAACATCAAGAGGGAGATTGTATCATAACTTTCTTGAACTCAGAGCGGATGAAGACTTAATCAACCCGCCACCATCTTATCAAGAAGCTTTGAGTATGCAAATTCGTGGACAATCCCTAAAAAGTAGTTAGGATCAGATTAAGATTCATTACGCTTGCTATTAACGTCATATGAGCTCTAGGACCTCCCTAAGAGCTTCAGACACGACAGATCTATTTACTTTCTACGTATTTTAGGAGTCGCATTTTCTCAGCTTAAAAATAGTACATAGCGGAATGGATGAGAACCATGCATCGCGTTTGCTATAACGTCATTGCCTGAGTTCGGGGACCTCGCTAAGGATTGCCGCAGACAGCACAGATCTATCAGTTGACTTTCTACGTATTATAGTCGCAGTTTCCTTAAAAAAATAGTACTTATGGGAATGGATGAGAACCCTGATTGCGTTTGCTATTAACGTCATTGCCTGAGTTCTAGACCCTACCTAAGAACTGCAGACACGACGGATCTACTGACTTTCTACGTATTATAGTCGCATTTCCGTTTAAAAAAAGTACTTAGCGGAATGGATGACAACCATCGCGTTTGCTATCAACGTCATTTCCTAAGTTCTAGGCCCTCCCTGAGCTGCAGACACGACATATCTATTTACTTTCTTATTGGCATTTTAGTCGCAGTTTCTTGTAAAAAAAGTACTTAGATAGCGGAATGGATCGGATTAGAACCCTGATTGCGTTTGTCATTAACGTCATTGGCTGAACTGCAGTCACCGTTTGGCTGGCGTTTCGTTTGCATTTCTACTTTGGATTTCATCGTAGTATTTTCATGGGAAAAAAGATAAAGTGAAGATGGATAAGACGACCTACTACTGTCGCTATTTTAACTGCCGGATTATCTGAGTCCGCTTTACCATGCAGTTCTTCCTAACGTTTAATTACAGACAGCGAGCAACAATGCAGCGAGAAAACTCAAGCCCCCTCGCCGCGATCGACAGTGAGCGCTCCTAAGGAAGGGCTCTCAAGAACTGAAGGAACAAAAATTGGTACTAAATTCAGTTTGATACGACCCGGCAGATAATTCCTTGGTGTGTTGTTTGTTTCGTTGCAGCTGAACATTGTTGTCGTACAGACTCTGTACYCCTGGTGGAAACTGTTTAGCTCAAAATGACGGAAAAAAAGAAAAAAGCCTTMGTCATGATGCACTATTCTAAAAAAAATTTAGCAAGCTTTTCCGAGAAGACTATACGAAATATGCACCTCTATGYACTCTCAGGGTCTTGAATTCAATATCGCACTCTCGTTTTGAATTCAAACCAGCATTCAAACCAGTATATTTCATATTTTTTRTTCCATCATTTTTTTTGTTTGTAAATAAACGAAATAGAAAACAATGCGTGGCATTCGCTGATTTGCTTCGGTCAGGTTTTAAACAAAGTTTATGAATTCTCAGAAGACATACAGTCGTTCAGTAATATTTCATTAGTCAAAACAGTTACCATGCCGTTAGTACGGAAATGCCATTATAATGCCAGCAGGTGCCATTATCGGATCAATTATAATTTTGTGTTGCTCTCTCAAAAACATATTGGAAAAATCGCGTGTCTTCTCGTGGATATTGAAAATGTCATGGAAAAACATGRTTAATAATCAACTGAATTATCCTCAGGGATTTCCTTTTGATAAATATATGAACAAATGACTGATTGCGGTTTTTTATGGCCACTTATATATAGAGCGAGGTGGAAGGCACGAAGCATCGCTCTTTTTGTACTTTTTTCCTACTTTAGTTGTCGTGTTCACGAAACCTCTGGGATTCAGGGCGAAGATAAGATTGGRTGACTCACTAATAGATCTTCCCGAATTCACTCTCAAATTGAGCGACCCCGTAAAAATGGCTCCAAATCGAAGTCATTTTGATATTTTAATGGTACTTTAACTATATCGATAGTTAAAGGAATGTATTATGACCTAAGACATAATGCATATTCATGTCCAACCTCTTGTTTCGTGATCACTCAAGAGATCGAAGAATTCTGGAAAGGTCTAGTATTTTCCATTTATCGACCAATTTTTCACAGCCTTAAAATATGCGCACAGCAAAGATTTTTCTTGTTTTGAAAATATTTTGGAAATAAAACTATGCATAAAATTGAAAATAATTTGATCGAGGAAACGAAAAATTATAAAGCAAAATTTAGTATATGCATATGTCTTTTTCCATGGATCTTTATCTGTTCCTAGTATATATGATATCTCGACCATTGGTGCGCATGCTCACTCCCTAGTGATTTTCTGTTGCAGCGGCAATCTCGCACCCAGAGCCTTTATTTCTTACTGCGCATGCTCGACAAGTTACAAGATTGGAATGTAATGCTGAAAGTATGAATTGTAAGGGGTGGAAGGAATGGGATTTAAATCAGTGTTAGAATATTGTGGCAATTCTACTTTCTTGTWAAATCCTGAATTTAGAATCTAAAAATATCACAATAAATTCAGCTTTTAGAATTTATTTTCTTTCTTACGACGTCATATAATCTTACACTTTTTCATAGATTTTAAGAATAAATTCAAATGATTGGTACTTGCATTTTTCAGCTCGCAAAACGTGTTAGRCGAAAAACGACCTTGAGGGAGTAAGGTCCTRAACTAGATTAAACTTCATAGAGTTTAGAATATTTCTTAGWAGAGTAAAACAGAATAAAAATTCGGTTTCGCATGCACAGTCAGGCTAGAATGAAACTGCCTCGAAAGCGCGCCTTTTGYTATCGAGTTACGTCATCAACTCCATAGCAACCAATTGCCATACTTGGCGAAMCGTGAAAACAATAGTTTGCTGCTATTCTTCGAAACGCAGCAAACCACAATTTTCTAATCATTTGAATTTATTCTTAAAATCCGATGAAAATGACGTCGTAAGAAAGAAAAAAATTGTAAAAGCTAGATTTATTGTGATTTTTAAATCCTAATTTCAGAATTTTACAAGAAAGTAGAATTGCCACAATYTATCACTGACTGATTTAGTAGTAGTTCAACGGCATTTTGGCCCTGTTTTCATTATGGGTACAGGGGATGCAATTGAAATTTAGATTGAAGACCTTCTTACAGTACMATACTCCTGCTTGCTTTACTAAAAAAAAATAAAGAAGAAAAAAGAAACAAAAGGAAAAATTGAAAGGGCAGAAAGAGGAAAGGTGAAATGGAAATAGGAAAAGGAAGCAGGGGAAAAAAAGAAGGACAAACTGACAAATATGCAGTTGAAATTGGGTTGCCTGTGATTTATTTAGGCTTTGCACTGAATCATGGGTATTTGTCTGTAGCTGGAGCGTCCTGGGTTCTAGTACCAGTAGAGCAAAGCCCCACGTGCAATGGAACATGGAGACTTGTAAGTGTCCTTGTGCCTTCGACAATAATGGACGATTTTTAGCACTTTTATCATCCGATGGACGCTTAAAGGTTTGGGATTGTACGAATGGATCATTAAAGCATCAATATACACCTAGTTCTCATTTGTCGACGACGTGTACTTGCTTAAAATGGTCGAATTCTTCACGTGGTTCGGTGAGTGATTGCACCATACGTTGTCGACATTAGTTCAAGGATTCTTCTTGATATTCGCTTAAAAAACCCTTTCTTAGGTTTTCTAAAGCTTCAGTTAAGAAAAAGGAACTTTTTAGTTATTGTTTATGAAAGAAACAAACGGAATCCTTACACGAGTTTCATAGAAAACGTCTCTAATAAAATTGTTTAGAGGGGACCAAAGCAGGYAACCCAAAATGCGACGAAAAAACGTGTTTAAAAACGTTTAAAAATTCCTACAATTTTTAAGGATTCTCTTCTCAATTTATAAATCTAGAAAGACATTATTTTAATATAGAGTTAGGTTAATAAAAACCAACTAAATTAACACGTATAGTTTACCCCATCATGGATGCAATGTGGTTGCTATTATAAAGTAACGTAATTTGTCACGTATAACTTACACTGAATTTGAGTTGCTTCTCGGTATTAAAACTGTAGCAAGTCTAAAGTTTCAGCTTGCTCAGCTTTAATAACCCAATATGAGATGAGGACTGTAGACCTGTAAACYTTGTTGATGATACAGTATTTGAGAGACCTGCCTTAGTTGCTCTTTTGCTATAGTATATGCTGTGTGTCTTCCCTGTGTCTGACTGGAAAAAGTTTTTCAGTTGTTTGTTTGCAGCCACCTTAATGTAATAATCCTTGAAACYTGTAGTCTCTTCATTGACTTTCTGGTTACAAATTATATCAATACTTAGATGTATGATAGCAAATGGCTTATTCCAGAGGAGGGGAAGCTGTTTCTGTTTAGAATTTGGCTTTTTGAAAATGAATGGAAGATTAGTAAACAAATATCCTGTTTCAGACTGTAGTGCTGAATTTTGAAATAACTTGGTTCAGCCTTGCTTCAAAATTCACATTCAAATGTTCTAGGAATAAGCTTATACTGGTATGATGTAATTTTGAAATTAGGTTGAAAACGCAAGTGGTCATTATTTTGGTTTTCAAAAATGGCTCTTTTCACTACTAGTGGTCTATCACTAATAGACACTAGTAGCTCGGCCAATCAGAGCACAGGATTTGTGATAGACAATTAGGCTTAGACTAAAATATAGATTAGCTCAGGGGCTGTTTTGAGGTTCAATGAAATTTTCAAGGTTCAAGATAGAAATATCAGCACTAAGGTAGATGGCAGTTGTGTTCTCTCATACCAAATATTTATACAAACTCTGTTACAAATAGGAAAGTCCGCGAAGAAAGAAGCAAAAAACGTCCCATAAGTCATCATCAGCATCATCTTCGCCATCAGTCATTGCCCTTGGTACATCATCTGGAGAGATATTGATATATGACTTAACTGAAGGAGAGATTCAGGAGAGATTGGTCAGTATTGCTTTAAATGATGTATCCTATATGTATAATACCCAAGTTGCATGCTAAGTTGCTTTAGTGCTGGCTTTCATGAATGTTCCTCCATGTTCAGTGTTAGTGATGGGACATGATGATAAATTTAAGGAATTTGTATAACACAAATACATCATCTGGAGAGATATTGATATATGACTTAACTGAAGGAGAGATTCAGGAGAGATTGGTCAGTATTGCTTTAAATGATGTATCCTATATGTATAATACCCAAGTTGCATGCTAAGTTGCTTGTTTGAGTGCTGGCTTTCATGAATGTCCCTCCATGTTCAGTGTTAGTGATGGGACATGATGATAAATTTAAGGAATTTGTACGTGTAGAAAATTAACTTAAATGTTACTTTTCATGGGTATTTTGGGGTTTGCCCTATTTAACTTGGTAGGATAGCATGTGAGAGCATTGGAGGGGATGTTATATCCTTACCTGCTGTTAGGAAATCTGTAGAAAAAATTTTTTTTGGCCTTTTTGTTACTAAGATTTTGAGTGAGTAATAGTGAACTGAAATACCAGTATTATAACTGCTCTAAGTGTATGTTATTTTGTTATTAGAGTGGAGGTCACGAGGATAAAGTCACTGATATTGCCTGGAACTCAAATGGAGACCTCTATTCATGTTCAAGTGATAAACACATYGTGGAATGGAATACTGGAAAATCAAAACAGAAAAGGTGATTCCACTTTCTATCATTTATYCACAGCTGTTAATTTTTCTAAGTAGACTATGTTCTGGCCACATTTAGAATTAGTCTGKTCAAATCTTTGCCTTGACTATGATTTTAACCAGTAAAATTGAGCAYGAAATAAGGTATAACCAAGCAATACGGTTACTAAATTGACCAGCCACCATGACCAGCAACTTAACTGTTGTTATTTTAAGCCCTGATAAGCCATCTCACTACGCTGACRAAAAGTTGAAAATCAGTATTTATTGTAAATTTCTTCTCTTGTCCTATCCTGTAAGATGGTTTTGGTCCTTAGCTGTCTGAAAGTCAGTCATATAGTTTGATTTGTATAATGTGAAATGTAAACAAACAAACAAACAAGAGTGATTCAAGAATTCCTGTCCTTGGTGTTAAAACTTTATTACATACATGCTTAGATGTACATAAGACCCTGTTATAAAATAGCACTTGTCATTTGATCCCTCAGCCTGACATTTTACAAAATGTATTTTTTTTAGTAAATGGAAAGCTGATAGACATGGAGTCAATTCCATCTGTGTCAGTCCACTGTGTAACTGTCTTTTATCAGCTGGAAGAAGCATTAAGTTATGGGACCTAGAAACAAAACAAATGCTAAAGGTAATGTTAGCAGTCTAACAAATTTRTTTGTATTGAAATTGCTTAATAAATCATGCTTGTTTCATGAAGCTTGGCACTTTGTAATAGCCAGTCGTCAACAAATRTATTGTTCCCATCCCATGATCAAATTGGAATTTAGATGTTGAATTTAGCAGGTGGAGAAAGCTTGCAAACCCAGAGAAAACCCCTCAATCTCTTACAGTGATGATTCAGACAGAGTTTTCATTGGGGATTGGGGATCGGAGAATGATCTGGTAACTGTGCAAAATTCTCTGGCTTTGTACTTGGTCCCCAGAACTCTCTGACAGTTATCTTATCTTATTATCTCATAACTTAACGAAAACCCTGGTCAGGTTGATTGAATCCATAAGCAAAGCAGTGAAGAGATATGCATTATCTTTGCACACTTCCCATGCTTCATATATAAATATATAAACACATATTAAAGGTACTGATAAAAGAAATTGCTTTTCTTTCTTGTAGAAATTCACAGGCCATGCGTCACCTGTTTCTGAATTATTATTTTTATCAAGCCCAAATATGTCTGATTCTAATGGAAACCATGTGCCAGAGAAGTCTGTCAATGGATTATACTTTTTATCAGGTACACAGGATGAAAGGCTACTTAATGTCTGGTAAGTATTAATCTGTAATTTCCATATTACAAGTTATGATTTAATTGCCTAAAGTGGGTTTCTTATACTCGGTCAGGCAAAGGTGTTCCTTTCATGATTAGATGTACATAAATCTCATGTCTTACATTACACACACGTTTTTTCTTTTTGTGCAGTTTCAGATGTGTTTAGAGACATGTGACCCAAGTATTTCTTTAAGTTTTTAAATGCTCTACAGCTCCCAGTCTGAAATCTGAGATCGAGTAACATGCTGCAAATTGTAATATTATTTTGTAATACACTTTCCATTTAGATTGGAATATTGAGTAATTACAGACTTCGAGTTAGAATTGTGATTTTCATATTTCGGTCATAAAAACATAAAAGCACAAAAAAAAAACATTTAGTCTCAGATTGCCCATCTCAGATCTCCTACTGACAATGTTTTTTGAAGTAGGCCAGTGTGTACCACTGAAAGTATATAGAAACAAGCAGATGTTTTTTATTGTTTCCATAAAAAGTCCCTATTTTGTGTGTGAAATCACTCAATTAGAATATCAAAAATGGCACTAATTTGATTGCCATTGTTTTTTTATATGTTTTATTAGGTATGTAGATCTGGAAAGCAAAGACAAGAATGCACTGGTATCACTATCATTAACTGATGATCCTGTGGCCATAGATGTGTCTCACTATGAAAGTGCTGATAAGGTAAGCTCCCTAGAATTTTTGAGAGATCAATATGAGACCCGCAAATATCTTTGATGTATTAAAGAACCAAATTAGAATATCAAATTAAAAATAAGTCACTAGCTCTGTAATGGTATTGCAGTCATACACGTATGAGGTAACATTGTGTCAAYGCATTTTGATCAGAATAATATATTGTACGAAGAAAAAAAAAAGTTTCTTGTGCATGTATTAAACACTTGTGTTGTAGAGGGTATATTAACAAAKTATATTTTTACTCCTTAGCCTGTGCATGTTGCTGTGATTTCCAAGGATGGACAACTACACATCTTTGAAAAGTCATTAAATGGGTAAGACTACCTAAGATGGATTATGTGGTATAGTGGTTGAAGTTTGTGTTGTACCAACAGCAAAAGCAGCAGCAGTAACATCACAATGATGATCATCATTTATATTCAGTTTATTAATCTATGGAGTGTTTTCTATACTAGAGGGGGAAAGAAACCAGTTACACCAACAAGATCTTTACAGTTGGCAACTCCAGCAGACAAGGTACACTTATTATGTAATTCACTGTAGATCTGATGGATTAATCCTTATCCAGTGGATAAATCAAAGCCGTAATCCAGTGGATAAGATTTATTTTTATTATTTTTTGCGCTATCCACCCTTTGTACAACTAGGCCTACCTAGAGAAAGATTCGTTCAGAGTGCAAAGAGTYGTGGGACATCAGGGGCTGATACCATCTTGCATCCCCAATCCAATTCCATAACCTTCTGCTCAGCTTTATTAGCCAATCTTATAATAGCCCAGGAATAGTGAATAAATTGCAAAATATATCAACATTGGATGTTTTCTGTGTGTAGAGTATGCCCTCATTTGAAATTGTGCCCGTTAAACAAAATAATACATGCTTATGTTTTAATTGCTTTTACTTTTAGAATAAACCAAGTCCCATTCCTTTCCTATGTGCCAAATTATTAACTGCAGAGGAGCCATCAGTTCTTGTAGCCTATGGTTCATTGGCAAAACCTCAATTTGAAACACTAGCATATGTCTCTTTTGAAAAGCACACTTGTTTAACTCGTGAAGACAACTCCATTCTTCCTGTCAAACATGGCTCCCAGTCATCTGGTCCAGTGGATAAGGCAGACAAAAACATGATTGGTTTCACTACTTTAGGTCCTTCAAACATGGCACTTGCTAGACCAAGTATGGCCCAGAATGGAGAGAGTGGAGAGCAGAGCTCAACAACCAGAAAACAAAATATCCCAGAAGAAGTAAGGAAGTCCATATTGACCTTTTGTTCAGACAATTCATCTGTCTTGTAGAGAATATAACAACAACAACAAAATATGCMCGATAAATGTGATGTACTTTTATTTAAAAAGTAGTGTTTTCTCCAAAAAAAATATTTTATTCATTGTTTGATTGTTTAGCTAGTAAAGAAAGAAATATATATTGATAAGGCAGACAAATAAAGACTACTTTGTTTATGTTTTTTTCAGAGCCTCGAAGACAGGTTAAAAGCAATGAATGAAGTGAAGGATAGAAAGTAAGTATATTTTTGATCATAAATGTCGTATGTACATTCACTAGACATAAAACAGTTACAATTGATTTGCAYGATTAAACAAATTTATGGCAAATGCATGCTAGGAGCACTGGTAATGGCTTAAGAAAGTCAAATTTATTTACAKCCATTCTCAATCAYACGCGCCGCTCTAGTGATCGCGACAAACAAGGTTTTGGTGGACGTCAATCAAGGCATTTCCATGACATYCTATAGGCACGTGCCCTATAACTTTTTGTTTTCTGACAATGTTGTACATAGAAAAGCCTTGTGATTGACATCCACCAAAACCTTATTCGTCTCGACAGAAACAATCGCTAAAGGGTGCATGTGATTGAGAATGGCTGTAAAAGGAGATTATGAAASTCTTGGACCTTCCTTGGCATATATATCATTTTGCTAACCCAAAATCATGCAGTGTGGAACTGAAGCCATTTACATAAAATTTTTAATCTGCTCTACCTACTGTAAGTAGTACTTACACCTCTGGGAAATGTTTTGCAGGCTAATACATGATGATAATGACTTCAGAATAGGAATTGCCGTCTGATCGAAACTTGACGACAAAAGGGTCTCTGAAGCCTGCATCCATTTCTCTACAGTTTCTCAAATGGCATTGCAATCTAACTAGAAATGTGATAGCTCAAAAATACTTTTYTAATGTTTCCAGGGTAGCAAGGAAACCAATCCCAACGACGTCTTCTATGGTACAGATGTTGACCCAAGCCTTACATAGTCAAGACAGACATCTTTTAGAGGTATCCCATGGCTTTTTGTCTATTCCACTTAGTTGATGTACTGTACACTGTATTCTACAAGAGAAATGTTTTGCAGGCAYATACATGATGAGAATGACTTAAGAATAGGAATTGCCGTCTGATCGAAACTTGAYGACAAAAGGGTCTCTGAAGCCTGCAAGCATTTCACTAGGGCTCTAGGCATTGTATTCTAACTACAAAATATGCTGTTAAGTATGTTCAAGAGTTAAAGGGGGCACTTGGATGAAARCGCSGCAATTTTTGAAAGTCCAAATAACTGAAGTATTTGAGGATAATATGACTCAATTAMWTGTACAATTATGCAAACCAGATTAGTAAAAATTTTAGCCTGTGAGCCATTTGCAAATGGGAAATTTTGGTTTAAAAGCAAAAGGAACAATAGGGTTGAGTAAATGACGTCATTTACTCACAATTTAGTTGCTGAATAAAACTKATATTTTTCATACCCCACTTTTTACTGTCAAGAAATGTTGCTTGGCTACTATTCCGRCCATATACATAGGTTTACCCAAGTTTAAAGTCATTTCCAATTTTCATYGATTTTCATTCAAGTGCCCCTTTAACAGAAACGTGAAAACATCTCCATAACCAAGCAAATTAWGAATTGATGTAGTCATTAATGTAAAATATTTTCATAACTAGGATGTGCTTCAAATTGGAGTAAAAGGGGGTACAATAAAAAATACAGTGCGCAAACTACCAGTACAATTCATTGTACCATTTATCAAAGAGGTAGGTATAACAAAGTAATAAATGAGTTCAAAGTCATTTACCCATTAATAACACCTATCAGAGCTTCAATCATAAAAGATGTAAGATAGTTAGGCTGATTTAACTTGGGAAAGATAAGTATTTGCTAAATATCSTTATTTTTTATTTTGTTTTCTATTAGATAATCTTCAAGATCCAGGTTAACCCAAACAGGTAATTTTGCAGTAAATGYGTAATTATTCTATAATAATTGCAAGATTTTGTTCAATTATTTTTGAAGGCAGACATAACTAGTAACTACCATGTTTTTTCACTTTTCTCAATATAGAGGTAGTCGACTAACTGTGTGGCTGAAGAGCATTCTTAGTATACATATGACATATCTTATGACAGTAAGTTTACTTTTTTTTCCTTTGTCCCTAAAATCCAGGCTTTTCTGCTTCCTTTATTATATTGCATGAAAAAAATATATACTCTTAGGGACAGGTAAATCTTAATTTTGTCCTACTTGTAATTGAATTTATAAAATAACTGTTATGAATGTCGCGTTCTGATTGGTTTGGAGCGTGTGCTTTATGAGAGTACATTGCACGCGCGTGCACTTTCTGTTGYGTCATTCCTATCTAAAATRATGGTTATTTGATTTTGTATTTTATAAAAGAARTAAAAAACTTGCTTGCTGTGCTGTGCTGTGTGCCGTACTCSAGAAGTGTCCAGAAGCACTCCGCTACGCGTCGTGCTTACTCCTAACACTTCTCTYGTGTTCTGCCAACCCMCACGTGCTTYATGACWGCACACAGCACGYGCGCRCGTTTTCTATTTYTTCAGTAATGCATGCTTTAAAAATCAGGACAGATGCTAATCATTTTTTTAAATGGCATCTAGCAAACAGGGATCCCAWCCTTCAAGCTCTTCAACACCCAGATTAACTGAAATTTATTTTGAGCATTTTTCCTTGTTTCCAGGTTCCAAACCTTGTAGAATCYTTAAGTAATCTATATACCATGATGGAAACAAGAGTTGGTATTTATGGCAGACTGTGTAAACTACAAGGAAGACTAGACTTAGTCTTATCACAGGTAGGTCTGTCTTTTTATGGTGTGTTTACTGTGAACTTCACTCAGTCAGCAGTTACAGTTCTTTCGCATGTGGGTAATCGTAACGAAGTGGGTTTTTGTGGRCGTCAATCAAGGTGTTTCTATGACATTCAACAGGCACAYGCACTCAAAAGCTTTGAGYTTTGGGACAATACCATGGTTCCRAACACTTTTATTGACATCCACCAAAATCTAATTTTGTCATGATAGAAAATTGTCAATTTCGAGGCAAAGGTCAAATAGAGAGTCTTATTCTCAGCTGAATGWCATGTGGTCTGAAGTGGGAAAACATTACACCMAATCTMARGAGGTCTTTTAAAGCTTATTAATCARTGACTTGTGGTGCAATTTAGTTTGGCATTTGGGCCACTGTAGCATGCTATAACTTACAGTTTTTAACTAAGACCATTTGATTGCACTTTCCTGTTAAAGGTTTCCACCCAGAGCCAGGCAGMCGATGAAGAACGGATGCTCAATGAACCTCTTACAGTTTATAACGAGGAAGGTAAGTCAAACCAGCATAATTTCTTCATATTTTTTTCTTCTTTAACATGCATAAGTAAAAAAAACAGCAGTGCTCTTACTACTCGTTAAATTCCTGAAAAACTCTTGGAATTTAGCATTTTTTCCAGGTAAACCCTTTGAATATCCACTTTTATTGGGYCTAGTCCTGAAAAATTGTTGGACTTTTAAGGGTAATTAATTGTTAGGCGAGGGTGGTAGAACAGACATATGATGATAATGATCACTTAAGAATAGGAATTGCCGTCTGAACGACACTTGAAGATGACAGGATCTGATGTCTGCTATTTGTATTATTTACATAATTATAACTTCTATTTCCCTTATTAGTGGAATGTTTTTAATGCACTTTTATTAACTGGCCTTATTGTAGATTCTGAAGAAGAGGTGCATCTTGAAGACAACTTGGCTTTAGAGGGAGAACATTCTGATTCAGAGGTACATAACCTTTCGTTTCTTTGATTTAAATGATTCAATTTATTATAATAACTGCMAACTGTGCAGCTCTTACCCTTTTTTACCTGTTTGCGGGATGTCTTTTTGCCTGGCATACAGACTGGCATTTCTTTGTTTCTGGCGCGCAGTGCATCGTAGTTGACTAGGATTCTTTAAGAAAATTCTGGATTTGCGATTTGTCCCTGATRAGTCTTGTTCAGGCAATTGTGATGATATTTTTTACATAAAAATAGGAATTGCCGTCTTATCGATCAATGACGACAAAATAATTTCTGATGCCTGATACGGTCTTAAACTTTATGAGGCATAGAATTTTTTCGAAAAAGCAATCATATCGACGTTCGTACTTTTTTCCACTTCCACAGGGAAAATGGGACGAAGATATGGAAGATGATAATGAGGAGTGTTTATCCATCGACTCTGAAGATGATGACGACAATGCGAAAGATGATGAYGATGAAGACGACGATGATGAAAACGGAGATGATGATAATGACAATGAAGGCTGAAGGATGATGCAACCAATAGATTATAAATATATATGGGAAAAAATCATCGTCTTGTSTTCTCATTGGGTTTGCATTTTCACGCGACATTGTTCCAACAGAAAAAAATCTAAATTTTTAATATTATTTCTTACTCCAAAAAATACAGAATTAATATCGTATTTTACCATAKTTTTAAGTTCGTGACCTATAGCACGAGCAGAGTGGTACCGAATAATTTGTTTCACATTTTTCTCAAATGTATGTTTAAATAAGCGCGGTCTCGACGATTTTGCGATGGTTTCTCGCGTGATTATGCAAGCCAGTGATTACAGTTAATAKCAATCACAATTTACAAAAGTCAGTCAAAGCTTCCTCCATGTTCATTTAGCTGTACATATCCCAAACTCATAGGTATGGTCAGAAGAAATATATCATCAAAGTTTGTTGTGTGATCGACGAACTTTTATCAAATAAATGTTCAAGACGTTCAGATTATATTCATCTTTTGTTCTTGATGAAACTTTGGCCATTGTACTATTGTATTGTACTGCRCACCTCCTGTCTGGTTTCCACGGATGTACTCCTCTCGCCCTCTTGGATTTCCATTTGTCTTGGGCAACAGTGGCGGATCCAGGACTTTAAGAGGGGGGTTCATTTTTGCAAATCTCGGCACAACAATAACGTTCCCTTGCATCATCATTTTTCCCATGAGGCACATCACTGGCCTAGGGGCGCTCCTGATAAGGATAACCTATCCATCAAAAAGCAGACCTAACATACTTTTATTTATTTATTTATTTACAAAAATATGAAAAATCCAAGGTACCAGCCGGTGGGGGGGTGGGGTTCATTTGCACCCAATGAAACCCCCCTTAATCCGCCACAGGGCAAAGGTTTATATTGTTTAACCCCTACACTGCGAGCAGAGGATTTTTTTAAACCCGGTCCCAACGGTCGGTTAAAAAAATCCTCTGCTCGCAGGGTATTTAACCCCACGATCTCCCACCTCAAACCCAGATATTTCATTGCATTGTAGTAGTTCTCAAAGACTTGTAGCTATTTTTTTTTCAACCATAATTTACATTAACTCCGTTTGTAAATAAATAATCTTTTGCCTGAAGCTCAAGTGAACGAGATTGGTTGACGATTAAAGGGCCTGGGGTTTGCACGTGAGTATCACGTGATTTTCCCCGCCATTTCTAAAATAGATGAACACGAGTGTGAACTCCGTCTAGTCTGGCTCCTTGTCAAGATTATGGCGGTTGTGTTGTGTTTGTGGAGTTAATTTCTCGGTATTTACAGGTACGTAGACATTCTATTATAGAGTGATTTTCCTCAGAGCGTAAAATACTACTGTATGCTATTAGAGGTTCCATTGTTTTCTTTACTGTGTGTTTCTTGGCAAGGTGTTAGGAAAATCATTGAAGTACTATTTGGTCTCCGGATCGGAGTAGAGCTGTTTCGCAGGCTAAGTACTGTTTTTAATGTTCAGGAAGCTTGATATGTGATATCAGAGCGAGAGTTTGGGTAAACGGATTTTTTAATAATATGACAAAGGATTAGAGGTTTGAAAGCCAAGCACTAGTCTAGTTCTGGAATTATAAAGCTTATTTCTTATAATTTTGCAAAGTAAGATGTAGCTCTTTACAAAATATTTCCTTTTTCACCTAGCTTTTCTTTTATTCGGTAATGCATTAGGAGCTAGGTTTATATATATTTATTTTGATAATTCTAAAAGGTTTAAAAGCACTCTCAAGGTCATAAATATTGACTGCATTTTGCTTATTGTTGGTGATGACTGTCATACAACTCCAGTTATCTGATGCTTCATCTTACAGTGTAATTAGAGGGCGGTTGCACAGAAGGCAGATAGCACTATGTATTGGGTGAATCCGTATCTAGTGGTTTATCCATCGGATAACAAGTATCTACCCTTTGTACAACCTTGTGTAGGAGTGAATATCCTTACCTCAATCTATTCAGACATCCCACAGAGCATCATATAAACCCCTTGCAATTTTACTTTTGTTATTCCTTATCCCTAAGGGATGGCCATTACATAATTGATGGTGGGGGGGGGGGAGTTGCAGGAATTTTGGTTGCATGATATTTATTTTTTGGCTCAACCCTTGCACGTTATGTTTTTGCGTACAGTTAGATATTTTTCTTCTAGCAGAAGAGGTTGCACGATATTTTTTTTGAGGTTTAAGTGCTTGCTCAATATATTTTTGGGATTTACGCAACCTCTCCCACGTATCAACTATCTAATGGTCTGTCCCTAAGCTTGCTTCTCTCATGCTGTAYGGCTCCCAGTGTCTTTATATCATAGTAAAGAGACATGCAAACACATTTTATATTCCTTAGATATACTGTATATCGGGGATGGTAGAGGGGGACCCAACACACTGTAACCATAATATCATCACTGAGATTGACAACACAAAACAATCACTGTATTGTTGGTGATATTGAATTTTATTGTTCCCAAATTATGGAGCATTWTTCCATTTTACAAGTGCTTTTGATYGAGCTATTTCAAATACAGTATTGGCATTTCAATGCTATTTAGATTTGTGAAAAAAAGGCTGTCGATATTGTTACACTCTATGGCAGTTCTCACCTCAAAAAGGGTGCAAACAACCTCAGTAACAAACAGAAAGTTTTGAATTCTGACCTGACTTGTAACAATCCAATAAAATTGTTTTCTCATGCAATTAATAGCATTTTGAATATTAATATGCCTTTGAAATAGCTTGTCTAACTTTTTTTTACTGAAATATATTATCTATCATTGGATTCAAAACAGAATTCCCTGAAGCGCTGACCAGTTATTTAACTGCCAGGTACATTGTATAGCATGCTTGCATAGAGGTTTTAAACACTCATTTGAATGCAGTCATGTTGGATGATTCCGTCCTTCAGCTTTCCAACATGGCTGTTCTCAGGTAGTTTTTTAAAACCTCCAATCGTTTTTTTTTATTTCTTTGGTCTAAGATATTTTTAATTGACTGATTTTGCATTCTGGGTTTCTTAGTTGAGTCTGTTGTGTTGAAAGTTTTGTTGCTTAATTTCTCTTTAATCTCTAATGTTTCTATGGAAGGCAACTAATGCAATCAGGGCTTAAAATAACAGCYGGTAAGTCAGCAGTCATGGTKGTGATGGTGGTCATYATYATACCTTATTTCTGGCTCARCGTTACTGGTCAAAATGACTGGCAAGGCAAAGATTTGACCRGACAAGTTCCRATTCTGGGTAGACAMTGTGTGATGTCTGGCYGTTATTTTAAGCYCTGTGCAATTRTATGGCTGCCACAGAGATTGGCTGATTTTGTGCCACTGCTACAATGCTTGTGCAAAGCTAAGTCAACCAGTCATAAGTAAGAATTCTCACAAATAATCATAGCAGTTACCATAGAAACACTTGGACTGAATGTTAAAACTATATGTAAATCAAAACTTTAACMTGCCAGATTCAAGCATAGCAGGTTGTCAATTATCTTTACTGCTGTATTACGTTATTGGTAATTTGAATGCTGTTGACAGGTAGTGTTGTAATGTTACAAGTAGTTGGATTATTTTCTAGTCATGCTAATCCAAAGTGGCAAAATAATTATGTAAACCAATCGTGAATATCTTGGTCATGTTATTAATTACCATGTTAGAAGTGCTGCAAGTCATGAAATATTTGGCATATTTCAAAATATAGAGCAGATTTCATGAGTGTGAAAAATATAGTGCCATACAGTATGGTAATAGTAAAGAATTGGTGTTCATGACATTGAACAACTCAGTAGTAGAACAGCATAACTTGATAGTCTATTTGGTGAGGAGAATACATGTCATGATTGGGGCACAGTTATACACAGTCATAGAAAATCTGCTCTATTCAATCATCCATACAGGGTTAAAAATAACTGCTTAATGGTAGCTAGCTGTTGAAACTGATTGTGAATAAGTGAGACTTGCCATAATGCTTACCTACTCTGACTTACAGTAAGATAATGGTAAGATTAACAGTAAGATAACCGACCACTTACCTAACTTGTTCACTATTTACCATGAGGCACAGAGTGCAAACACTGAAAGTGTGCAACACTTTGCACTATTTAGTAGTAAATAGTGCTCATTAAACAATGGAAAACAATAGGATTACCATAATTTAGCAGTATTTAGTGGTATTTATGTTACACACTTATAGTGTTTGTATGTACTCTAACCTACTATGCCATAACATTGCTTTATCTGACAGTTTGAAAAGAAGATCTATAAATTTATAATGACTGTGCTAATTGTTATTTGAGATAAATGTGCATTGCCTAGTATTTAGCTGCAGTGTTTCAATTTAGTTGATAAATATCATTCTGTGGATAGCATTAGAGTATGAACACTACAAGGGTGCAATGCTTAGCACTAAATAGCACAATTTAAACAATAAAAAGACAGTGTAATTATCTTAATTTAGCACTATATAGTACTATTTAGTGCACACTTATAGTATCTGTACTTTATAACTTTATAACTGATTCTTTAAGTATGTATTTAGATTGTATTTGATGCTTACATGACTAGTTAAATAATCTGCATTTTCCCCCAAAGAATTGAAATAACAAATAAAGACATGCTTCATCATTGGTTGATTATTATGATGAAAGAGCTCAAAGAATATTTGGAGGCAATGTAACGAGAGAGGATTTGCTAAAAATGATTTTTTGTGCAACATTATTGCAACATACGAGAACAAGTTTTAGTGCAATTTTGACTTTCATCGACATGTTGCAAGTTTTGGATCCAAAGTCAAAACCTCGCAACTCAAAATGACACATTTTTCTCAGCATTGTGTWATAAATTGTCATTGCAAATAATGTCTCCTGTAACATTGCTTTTAAGTTCAAACAATAATTTCATGGCATTGAAAACAAGCACATTATTTTGTGGGTTCTGTGTAATAATGATTGTGGGCTTATTTAGGGTTTGCTCTCTTCTTTGTCTTAATGGAACATCATTTTTTGGTAAAATGTGTACAATCTGGCTGTCCTATATATTAATAAATCTTGAATATATTAAATCAGAATTGCAGGTTACATTTAATTCTTCAAAGGATAGTCCTTATGAATATAAATACTAYCAGTGCTATGACTATAGCTATAACTTATAATTTGTCAACTAATAATATTGCTCTAATAAATATTTATGGTTTTCATAATCTAAATAAATTATCCTTTTAACATGCGCCAAATTTGAGTCACACCAAATTGGCTACCAAAAACTAATGAAATGTTTAAATTTGAATTCACGTTTTTGGCGCTAGCTTGGGTTGTGTTACAGTCACCAAAAAGTTCGGACATCATTCTCGGACTTCCATACAAATTCACTGACTTTAAAGAGAAAATTTAGGTAGATTTCTTTAGTTAGCTATCTTAACAGCAGTAAGAAAAGCTTCAATCAAGCTAGAAAAATGATTATTTACTTGATTATTTAAAGAACTAACTAAACATTAACCAAGTAAACAGTTCATTTAGAGGCAGTTCATTTGTACAAAAATTCGAGAACAATGTCTGAACTTTTTGGTGACTGTAACAAGATCTAAAACAATTTATACCCCGTGACGGCTAGCGCCGAAAAGGTGAATGAAAATAACCTTTCTACTGATTTATTTCTTCTTAATTTCCTATGTGAGGTACACTACAATGTACATTAGGTTCCTACCTTTCCTTTGTAGAAATAAATGGGAAATATTGAAATAAATGGGAAATAACAGTATATATCATGTTTAAGTTGGGTACTAGAACAGTTTTCCTATAACTGTGAAAAGCTCTATGCTGTATGCAGTGCCTTGCTGTTTAATACCATTATGTTTATAATTCTTGAATTTAAATTGCGGCTGTTTTTTCTCACACCGTATGATTGGTCTAGTAGTGCTGTAACCTTGGCATGACCCTGCCCATGCTGTATGTTGGGTWTCTGATTAGATGGAGAGTAAATTYTTACCAATGTGAATGGTTTGGTGTATGCCTTGTCATATCATGACCGCATTCGTGCTGCGAGCTTTTCACATTCTTTTGTGATATGAAAACTGCTCCAAATTCCAACTTACTTTCTTGCTACACTTCAAGGACAGTCAAATGTGTCATTAGAGAAAATATCCAATCATACTTCCTCTAGAGAGGATGATTCCAATTAATAAGCATATCAAGGGGGTGACAACACAACTTTTCCAAGGAAAAGCTATGTAATTTTCTTCTTTTCCCTTATTCRTCTTCAGTTGAAACTACTAATACCAGAATCCTCTTTCACATTCTTTTTCTCATACAACCAAATATATTCCAGGCCCAAACATGCATGTTTTTAACAGCTGATCTTCAGATAATACAGTTTCAACATAAACTGCTTGTCAACTGAAGTAATTTCTGCAGTCAAATTTTAACTGGTTCAGCATTTCTACACATCACTACTAAGAGTACTTAATAATTCTTTTCATATAAAAATATTTACAAAACCCTATGAGATGCATATTTAGTAATTTAGTTATTCCGTCGCTCCATAGAGAGGACTGTTACTCTTAATATCATGCAAGATAAAACCTATAAATCTTATCAGGTACCTTGTTTATCAAGTTGTTTGACTCAAGTCCATTTAGAACATAGAACATAGTTTTTAGAAATTAATTCCTGCAGTTAGCCGACTAGATCCCTATCAAAACACTATACCCTAACTATGTAATACAATACATGTTAGAGGAAATGCAGCAATTAATTAATCTCTTTGATATTAATGGTCTAGTCTGCCCAAAGAGAGAAAATTAGTAGTTAAATTATGATATATTGTATATTGAATTCCTTTAAAAAAACGCTTGTTAGAATGCTTTCAGTTAATCCGTAAAAACACAAATTACTATTTTGTACTAAATAGTACAAATTAAACAATAAAAGACAAAGGATTTCGTACAATTTTGTTTTACTAAAGTTTCACGAATTAACTGAATGCACTCCACTGATTTAATCCCAGAACCTGGAATAYCTTGAATTTAGAACTTTAATTTTGAAGATTTTTAACACAACAATGCTTGACATGTACCAGTAATCTGTCAGTTATTTTTTCCAATCTTAGTGTTCTGTTTGCTAYTGCTGCATCTTTGCTGCATTTATATCATAATTATTGTCAGAAGTTAATGTGCTATTATAAACTTGTGTTCAAGTGTTGTTTTAAATTCTAGCAATTAGGACCAATTATACATTGAATAATATTGATATTAAATGTACTGTAATAATGTGCCTTAATAATTAAAGAATGCTATTTAATCATTTTCACGATCCTCCTGAGATCTAAAGGGTGATACTGATTTAAACAAACTAGGAATCAATTATTGAAAGTAGCAAACAATAATTGTTTCAAATATTTTAAGAAATGTGATTGTTGTGTACCCATTCCACTGCTAAGCGAAAAATTTCACCTTACTTCACCCCATTTTCTTGACTGTAGATGTCATCTTCATTTTCTCTGATATTAGAGGTGTCCCAGATTTTTAAGGTACAATCATAGGAGGCAGTGTAAAGCTTGTTCTTATGTTCCTATAAGGTTTATCATAAAATACAGTTAGTGTTATGAATCTCATGTTCTGATTACTTTGAAACACTATGCATCATATTTCTCCTACATTTCAAAACTTGCACACYTCTCAAACAGCACAAAACAAAACAATTTCTAACTCAAATCTTAGCACCAAAGTGATCCTCAGCTATCAAGCTATAACTTTTATGACACATATATACATACATATATTTGTCAACAAAATAAACTTGGAAACTTTTTTGTATTTTTGAAGCCTTCAAAATTCTTACCATCTTATTATAAATTAGTCTCCCATAATTATAGCTGCTATTAGTGTCGTCACRCAAAGATCTTAGGGGCGGAGCTTAGGGGAGTGAACATTGCCTTATGACACTAATAGTGGCTGTGTAGGAAAGTAATTATAAATTAAGTAACCTTACGATTTTCACTAACTCTGTGCTTGGGCTGCCTGTGGTCATGCAACATGCAATGAAACTTTCATGATCAGACTAGCTTTTTTGAAACAGCTGCATACATAAATCTTGTACATTTTCAAATTTCAGTACCATATTCGTCCCATATTAAAAAGACTTCTAGAAAGTGGAATCTGCACTGTTACATTAATTTTAATGAATAGTTGTAAGCCTACCAGTAATGAAGCAATTGAGTACAGGTGGCCCTTGAAAGTTCGCTTGCAAACTCCTGACTTTGCATCAAATGCTTTAGCCAAACCATCTCCATCACCAGTAAATACTGAAATAGTATATATATTTTTTAAAAAGGGCACAGTTTACTTAACATAATATAAGGACACAATAATAAATGTTTATGAGATCAAGTCAACAACACATGCCAACAGTTGTAAGCCTTTTCACATCTGATGGAATTGGGATTGCAATAATTGGAGTCAGAGTCAAAAGCATGCAGTTATATGACAAAGTAAAAAATCAAAAATTTAAACTGTCGAGTCAAAATTGTACAGCACATCATGAGTGCATGAAAAAAATTAAAAGGTTTTCTTTTCATTGGCTTGTACATGAGTTTAAGTCCTTTATGTTATGTTGATTAAATATGTTAACTTTTCACTTGAAATTGAGTGGATCAACTGCTTCCGACTYHAATAGAGGCTTTGCACCATTATGGCAGCCATGTTAGATGGCAGGAACGATACAATCGTCTTATATGAGAAAGACTTCAACTCCRAGAGCAAAGAGGCTTTATTGTTTTGCCATCTAACCACAGGCAGTCCATGCTGTATTATGGGAGCCGCCACTTGATGGTGCAAAGCCTCTATTCCAACTCTGACTCCGATTCCAAGTTCAATTTTAACTAGACTCCAACACTCAAATGGAATATAAGCAAGATGACTTAGATTTGTCATTTATACAACTAGTATATAAAATATTTATACTGTTATAACATCATAAAGGCCATCATTTTATACTTACGTAGACCATCTTGCACCAACATTGTGCTAACTACATGCTTATGGCCTTTGTAGGTTCTCGTACAGTCTCCAAATTCTACCACCCAGCACCTTGCAGTGTAGTCAGCACTACATGTGTACATTAATTTGTTTACAATCTGAAGGAAAGGAAAGGWAATTTATTTAGTTCACATTCCACATGACCTCTGCAGCRTTGAAAATAATTGCTGCTTACTGTCATTAATTCATAAACATGTTGAACTCAGAAGCTACAAGCTGCACACTGAAATTTTGTTTTTYGCTACCATCAATCAAAACTAACAGTTGTTACTGTACCATTCATATTTTGAATTTACAGCATTGAAAAAAACAAATTTTAGTGTGCAGCTCACAGCTACCAAGTTTGGTGTTTATGAAAATRGCAGTAATTGCCAGAAATGACAACTGTTCACATCAGACTTATTGACAGTTCTTGACCACTAGTCAATGTTACCAGTCAACAGGTGTTTGGTCAGAAATATGTCAATTTTGGCTGCACATTGTCTGTTAACTGGCCATTATTTTGGTCCCCAGCCTTGTTTTCTTCAGATCTAAAGGTTATCTTATCTTGTAGTTTAAATAAGGTCTTGAACATAATGGATTTTTATTTAAAGCACTAATGGCCAAGCTAAAACTAATTGGAGCAGTCAGTACGGCCAGCAACTGCCCAGCCGTTGTTTTTAGCCTTGGGATGTGCATGCTTCTCTGCACATCTTGAGTTCCTTAGCTTGACATTAAAAAAAAAGTTGTAGTTTTTGAAGGGGGGTAGTTATTTATACTCTGCAAATTTGGTAGGTGTGCATACAGAAACATGCACCATGTTCTTAAATTCTACAGCCAAACAAAACTTTATGTATGAAACATCAATACAAATAAGTTATAAAATTTCTTTGCGATGATAAATCATGATAAAAATAGTATATATCATATTTATCATTATTTATTATAACTGTTCTTGTAGAGTTTGTTTTCGTTTGTTTTCATATATTAAGAAAAAATAACATAATAATTAAATATTATTTGCTTCTGGCACACTATACATTTTCAACTAATCTACTATTACTTAGTTAAATGCATGCATAGGGCTTATAATAAATGATATTAAATAATGATATATGGCCACCACCYGGTTAGCCCAGTTGGTAAGAGTGTCGGTCTGTTGTGCGGGAGGTCGTGGTTCAAGGCTCGGCCGGACCAACACTCAGGGTCTTAAAATAACTGAAGAGAAGGTGCTGCCTTTGTAATAATATCTGCAAATGGTTAGACCTTTAAGTCTTCTCAGACAACCGTAGGCCCTGCCTCCTAACCCTTCCTAACCTACAGTAAAATATAAAATATATAAAACATAAAATGGGGGACATAAAAGAACCACTGAGGACGTAAAAAGAAACCTCAGTGCTTACATTTCATACTAACCATCTCTCATGTTTGTAAATTGCATAAAAGCAATCTGTCATTCACAACTCCATGTAAAGCCCTTTTATCCACATATAAGGGCGCTATATAAATCATAATCATTTCTTTTTTTTTTTTTTTCATTTCATTTCATATTTTGAGCATTAAGTATTATAAAGACAACAATGCATTACATTATCTTCATAAGATATTTCATTAAGTYTTATCTTCATTAAGTCTTATCTTGACCAACAGTTGGTCTAATTTACTTCAGTGACTGTACACAACTGTGTAATCACTTTGWTAGTGAAATGCTATTGAAATATTTTACAAGACATTTGATTGAATAATTGATAACAATCTTTCCTTAAAGACTTAACTATTTCATGGACTTTATTTATTTGAATCTGTCTCTTTCTACATATCTTTCTATTATGCACATCTATACATATTTCTCTTTTAAMCTGTTCTAAATAAAACTTTGAAGCAATTTAATTTGCAATCTTTTTAGCAATTAAAATTGAAATCGTGAGGGCTAGAAAATTCTAGAACGTTAAGTAATATAAGCTAGTTAGCTGTTAGTTCATTCAAATAAACCTAACACTTCTGTATTTTATATRATAGAGCAGACACTGCAACAAAAATTTTAAAGTGATATTTCTTTTTAAAAAAATGGAAATGTTAAGAATTTTATTACAATACAGTACAGTACAGTACAACCATAAATGTAGGCTTTATGTACATGTAAGACATTCCAGCTATTGCACATTATTAAACCTGCTACATGATTGCCAATTCATGACAATATTATCAGAGCTTGCATAAATTCATTCTACAAAAATGAATTGGAAAAAACCTACAACTCAACTTTGACAAAGACTTCCTTTTATGAAAACATGGTTAAAAAAATGTCTGTGTCATATTAAAATGAAGKTCTGGTCGCATGATGCATACTGAAAAGTAGCATTATAATATTGAAGTCCTTTTTTGCATGGGCCAAGGTTATTATTGATTTTCAATACTGCTAATTTAAGTATTCCTGTAGAATTAATTACATTTTTTCATTTGTTTTGAATTCTGGTGGTTTTTGAGTACATGTAAAGGATTTTAATAACAAAACTTGTGGGCAAACTAATTTTTGACTGCAAAAAAGTGTCTCATCGACAAAAAAATAATCTAAATACTCAAATTGTTTTGCTAGGAACTTATTTTAAGAATTCAAAGTATTCATTTGTTCCCATTGATCTTGGAAAGCATCTCCTGTGGTGAGTACAGGAGATAAATTGAATTAGATGATGCATAACCCCATCTCCTCTGTTGCTACAACACAAGAAACACAAATTGACATGTTTGGGAAGAAGACGATGAATTACTAAGGYAATAATGCAAACAGATCAATCAATAGCTCTAGATATAAAGTGTGTTTAAGCTCTACCTTTTTACTACCCTAAATTCAGAAGAACTTCAATACTTTAATGTAAAAATTCTGATGTTGTTTTACACTGACACATCCAGTTATACTTTTCCAAGGTGATGTAGCTTTGCAGGCAGGTGTTTTGGGGARATTTCCTTTCAGAAATTCGATTCAAATTTAAATTATTGTAAACCCAAGTTATTTTTTTGGTTTGAACAACCAATACCAAAACGTCCTAATTTATTAAGTGCTTTAAATTCATGCCTCGGAAGATTTTTGCTTTGAATTATATTCCCTAAATTGGTTGACTGATAAACTAAAAATGAAAAAATTAAGAAATTAAGGAAARCAATTATTTTAATAGTTTTATTTTCGTTCTTATAGTTGGGCCAAGAAAATTATTACCTTCTTAAAATTCTGTTGTGTTTTATTTTCATCGATTCGTGTAACTTTTTTTTTTGCTTTCGTGAGCAAAAATGATTTTCCAATATTGAACAGAAAAAACAAGTAGATAAAACAAGTCAGATAACCAGATTTAACTATTGCCTTTTAAGACCGCATCGCACCAGGTTTTTTAAGTATACGGAAATACATTTGAGGATATTTCTGTAAGTAAAGGAAAAGAAAAAAAATCCATTTGGTGATTGTTTCAAGATAACTAATGAAAACGAATTTTTTTTTGAAAAAATGGGAAGAAATTTTAGCTATACTTGGCGAATAAAACAATTCTGTATTTTCTATTGTCATTATTTATATTTTTAGTTTTAGTTTTATCGCGGCAAAACGTTCAATATCCTTTCCCTATGTATTTCTAGAAGAAACCCGACGCATTTTAGCATTGTGATTCATGATATCAAAATGGTGGTGGAAAATTGAAATTCTATTCTAAAATTTCCTGGGCAAATTTGGAGAATCCACAGAGAGAAGTCATCCTGACCGCGATCACATCGAGTTATTTTGTTTTGTTTTGCATTAATAAACTGCTAAGAAAGGAGGGAAATAATTGTAGGATAATGTGGTTGACCGCCATTAGATAAATAAGTAAATATACCAAACCAAAAGCCCATGAAACGAGGCAATCCTATCCTAACGAGCGTATGATTCGCGAAAATCCATAATGAGTAAACATTCTTGCTGGATGACATGTTAAACTGGACTTTGTCCGTTAATACACAACGAGAATTCGGTATTAGAGAGCCCGACTTGAACAGATTCAGTTTTTTTCYTGCGCGATACAGTTTTCTTGTCTCAAATGAACTAGGATTTTGCACTCGGCTTGTTATATTGTCCGATATGTAATACATTTGCGTAAGCAGCACCTTCGAGCGAAACACTTCAAAAGCAACAATAAGCTCGCAGAAAAACACAGGCTCGACACTCAATAAAATACAYATGCATCTCAGACTACTATATACATCACAGACATTATAATTGATTACCTGTATGCTGAGCACCGATGCTGAGTGTCCTTTAAAAACTTTTATKGGTGCACCCGTTAGCAAGTCCCACGAACGTACTGTGCAGTCCGATGAACCGGTAAACAARAGTTTTCCTTTTCCATCGACCGCCAGGCATAAAACGGGACCTTCGTGTCCCTTAAACGTAATAAGGCAATCGTTAGAGTTCATTTCCCATGCTTTAGCAGTGTTGTCTGACGATCCCGAAACCAAAATATCATCGCTATTGTCCATGTCAATGTAGGTACCACGATTAGCCTCAGATGGTACAAGAAGTATTGGATGAACGCCGCGCTTATGGCCTCGAAACACCTTGAGTTTCTCGCCTGTATCTGCGTGCCAACATCTGATTGTTTTGTCGTAGGAGCTAGAAAAAAGTATATCTCCTGCATAGATAAGCCGGTGTACCACTGAAGCATGACCTTCGAAAACTTTGCAACAGGCCCCTGTCTCCAAGTTCCACTTGCGGATTGTCTTGTCTGACGAACCTGTGAACGCGTATTTATCCGAAGCACAAACGTACGTAATATATCCTGTATGGCCGGTCAGTGTACCAACACACTCCTCTGTTTTAGTATCCCATAGTCGACCCGTTTTGTCCTCCGATACTGTTATTATTGTGCTTCCACCTTGACTTAGACACATGGAGTTGATTCCCCCTTCGTGCTGCTCGAGCGATTTAATGAGGAAAGTCTTGTCCTTCTTTCCTTTGCCGCCTTTCTTCGAAGACTTGGAACTTCCCGAGCCCATGTTTATAACAAGTTTGTCAGTCGAGGTGAACGAAGTGAAGTTGCTTTAGTTTACGATTTGTGTACTAAATTCTCGGTTATCTTGATTACAGCAGATCTATATTTTGCTGCCATCGATGCGATGTTAATTCAAGTCGGAAGCCATAAGAAAGTATTGTACCAACTAACCGTTATCTTGCGTCGTTCAATTCACAGCTACAGTAATCTCAGTAGAACTACCAACTCGACCGGGTAATGCAGCTGGACATGAATGACTGTGGATTCGATTCAGTGGGACTTTGCTCAGAATCTGTAGATTCAACGAGAACAAAACATCAAAATGAAGGCCCTTGTCAGTATTATATTTTCGATCGTTTCCCCAGTTACTGGAATAACTAATGAGCCGAAAATAATCACCTTAATTCACCGCCTGCTAAGGGCAAAGCGACAAGGCGATTGGATACCTGGAACAATATYAAGATTTCCCCCTGTGATCCTGTCAAACTTGACTTTTACTGACGTCATTGCAAGGGAAAAATGATATAAAGAAATGAAAAWATATATATAAATAAAAAAGGGAAAAAAATCAGTCCAATTCAAAAAGTTACAAGACTAAATTCTAACTATTTTTATTTTCATCTATTCTGAAAACTTTCTGTCACATTATTTGAAAATTTTAAAAACTCATGCTCTAGCCAGTCCGTACACGTATTGATAGAAAACAATTCATGTCTTTTAGCGGTAATAAAAGCTAGGCATGCTAAATGCTTGGTCGATTTGTTATCGTTTCAGCGGTCGCATGGGCTCATGAATTAGTGTATTGACAGTCACATTGTGCTGCTCTCGGAGTACTTATAAAAACTAATTCACCTGAGAGTGTTCGAGCGTATGCTATCTTGTCATAATGACGTGACTCAAGTTTCTTTCCCCATAAAATGTTGAACAAATAATATAACAGGCTAACAAGCTAATATAAAGTTGATTCTCATAAACGCGCCGTTCGTTTTCGATATAGCTAGACCTATAAAGRGTTGTCAAAAGAACGAAAGCTTAAATCTAATTGTTTCGAAAACCGTCTATTCTAGAGTAAGTGTTATTTATATGCCTCATTCATGAATCTACTTTTGTTTGTTATTCAACATGTTTACTGCCCAACGGGTTAATTTCCAAGTGACGTCCAACTGCTTGATGGAAAAGTACCCGTTTTCACTTCTTTTTCTTCTATAATGTTTCTTGATATGCGGATCATTGACAAGATATACTAATTCTGATTAGACTGACTGTTACTGAGACCTGGCTACATATATATCTATATAATAAGAAAGACTAGTAAGATACTAATTAGCTTACTATTATTATCGAAGAAGAGGTATCGTGCTGTTGTGGGTAGAATTGTATTCTTGACACTTCACCTCTCTTTGAATTTGTGTGACGACAGTCTATTATTTCCCAGCAAGCAGTTGATTATTATTGATGGGATCTAAACGATTTTCTTAACTCGGTACATTTACAGACATTTACTCCCATGTTTATGTAAATCATGAATCAAATTGACGAGAACCTCATTCGGCAAGCTATTGAAGGCCCCTACAAGGAATCTTTCCTTTTGTCAGTTTGATATCAAGATTAAAATCTTACACAGGCTTCTAGTCCTTCTAGGATCTCAGTGCATGCAGCGTCTGTTTGTTTGTTTATTATGTTCACCGGCAGCGATGGCGACCTAAAAATATATACTCACCACATTAAATGACTTTATTGCGCACTATTGTCACGAAGATCGGTCGAACGGACTCACTAGATAGTATATATATCTGTCTCATCTATCTCTAAAATCTTATTTGAGGCTTATTTTCAAAAGAGAGCGCATTTGGTCACGAGGTGACAGGAAGTGAAGAAAGGTCTCCACTAGAAAAAGGACGTTATACTTTTTTGCTTACGTCAAAGCCCTTTATATTATAATTCAAGCTATGTTTTCTCAATTATTGTTTGCTATGCACCTGTCAGTAACACTGCCCCTGACAACAGCATGTTTGGTTAACCTGGAGATCTATTTTTAGTCGTAAATTCTCCATTCTCTCTCTCTCTACGTTATTTTTAATTTTTGCCTTCAACAAGTTTCATTTTGGTGGCTCACTCACAAGAATAATTTCAAACTATTTTAAGTTTTATTATGGCCTATTTCCGGTCTCGAGTGTATCCTAAAAAAAAGTTAAAATTTTTCAATAAAGAAAAAAATAGTTAAAATTTCACAATAAGGAAGAGCTGACGTGTATAATAGTAGTTAATTATTAATAAAACAAACTGGGAACATCAAAAAGGCGAACATTCTAGAATCTAAAACAAAATTCTTACAGTGCATAATGCGAATAAAAAACTCCAGTTTAAGCTCGCAGCCATATTTTATAGAAGGCACTTTAGTGTTCATGCCTGTTGATATCCAAGACTTTACTGACCGTCGGAGTTTGACAACCATGCCTCAAATTAGCCCAGTTGTCAGATGGGTTTTGCACGAATAAAGGGCAATTTGTCAGTCAGTCAGTCAATWGTACTATTCGAGATGCGGAATAAATAACCAATTGCGCCCATTCTCATTTAGAAGTGATGCAGATCATCTGTGAATATTTTGTTTTGAATAGTTTTCGTTTAAGAAATAATAATTTGGATTATTTTACATCTATATATCTTTTACAAAGGAACACCTTAAAATGCTAATTAGTTAAARTTTTACCCACAAGATTAAAACACATTGCATAAATACCTTTTTCTATTATTCAAAAACTCGAGTATTTACTAATTTGCACTTGTAAAATGAATTTCAAAAATAGACAGATTTTTCGTTCGCTTGCATTTACGAAACTTTACTTAAAAAAATATTTACTTTGTTTTGGAATAAATTCAAATCGGTACACGGCGAACTGCACAAGAAATAATTATACAAGCTCGAGTTAAAACAAAAAACGAAAGACGGCAAAGACGAATAATATTTGCGATAGATACGTTCCGATTATCTCCGTAACTTTCTTTCAAAGATTTAGATTATAGATATTTCATGGATCCTAACCTTAAAATGCCTTCGTTGAAGGGCTGTTTCAATATTTACAAGTTCMAACGAGAATACGTACGAGTAAAACTTATCGCAGTGCACCTGTACGACGTCCCTAGCCTCGCAGACTTTTGAGAGCAGCAAAAAGCTATTTTGGGAAACGAATATGGCAATCCAATCTAGCACATGCGCACGTGTTTGGTAAGATTTGTTTGTCGTCTAAAATTTAGTCTAAAAAGTCTAAAAGTTTCGAAAATTTTCCTTTGATTGTTGCCTGTTTCACTTTTAAAGTCTTCTTGTTCCATGTTGGTAAAAAAAAGGCAATACGTGTCTCGTGTGCGGGTTTCCGTGTTAGAATCTTATTCAGTGACGTGCTGAAGAGTTWAAGATTGCGCTAGAAGCTGCATTCGATTTTCGATTTTCATTTTACCTAGTACGCAATATTAGAGTTGTTGTTGCCATGGGCAGCATGACAGACCGACGCTGCAATTTTTCGCTGCAAAAAAATCTGAAATTGCGCTCCTGTTCTCCTTCGATTTCTCACTTTATCTTGTCTAGTTATCATAATCAATCTTATCATATGACCCGTATCTGCCCGGGCGCGCTCTTAAAAAAACCTTCGGGAAAATGGCGTGAGTAGGGCCGTACGGCTTTGAGCGAGCAGGGCCGTACGAATCCGTACGGCGCTGCTCGAAACCTGCAACCGTATTTTCTTTCTTTTCTTTTCTTATTTTTCTTTTCTTATTTTTCTTTTCGTGGGGGTCATATGACAAAATGCTTATTTGATTGAGTTAGGTTGGGCCGTACGGGAAAATATTTGGCTCTCGGTCATTTGTACGGCATCACYTCGAGCCAAATATTTTCCCGTACGGCCCTCCCACTCATTCAATAAGTATACATAATCTGCAATCTTCACTTATTTTCATTCTCCTCACTCACTTGCAAAAATAAACAAATAAATCGGACATGTTTTTCTCCATCAAGACCCGTTTACACGGGCGATTTTTGAAGCGATTCGACTGAAATGCGATTTTTGCAGTGGTATTTGAAAATATGTCTCATGCCGGCAATAGTTTGACAATCAATATCTCGGTGTGCCGGAATAAAACTTTAAAAAATTAAAATTCTTTACTATTTTTGACTATGTGTGAACGGATTTTTAGTGATGCTCGCGAAATGTTTCCCAAATGATGAAAGTAATAACAAAATTGAATTTATACTTTACCAGCTTAAACGTCTTCTTTTTAAAACATTTCCTTGGCTAAAGTTATATTTCCCAATGCATGTAGTGCTTTGTTCTCCTGAAGTTCTAGTCTTGGAATAAAAAACTCCTTGGGAGGTAGGCCTACTGAAGTGCGTTCACTACACTTAGTAGTTTAGCGTGAGAAGGGAGGCCGGCAGGGAAAATGCCCATCGCTTTTACATTTTTCAGATGATCGTCTTAGTAATTTGGAAAATGCGTACGTGTGATATTATTTAAATAGGAAACAGACCTTATAAACAAATAACAGATACAAAACTGAAGAGGAAAATAGTCCATTATCAAGATGATTTCTTAGTTTTAGGGTTGTCATGGTCGCCGTCACCCTCTCGCTCCCGAGTCCTTTATAAAATGATTTTTAACTTTCATTCATCGAAAATCCATATTTCAAAATTTACCTAAAAAACAGTAGCCTCGAGTAATACTTTTTTTTTCTTATAAGATATTTATCTCGCTTAAAAAGTGTGGCTGGTGTGCGGTCTTGGWCAGTGCTCCGGTTTTTCTCCCTAAGGACCATCAGGTTTGCAAGCCTTAGGCTATGACACTGATGTTCCTCTTGAAATAGGAATGATTCATTTGCTTCATTTGTTGACTAATGTTAGATAGTTTTGAATCTGCATGAACACCTGATAACCTGAATGACCCTGTGACTTGTAATGTCTATTATTGCYGGGTAGGTAGAAAATGAATCGAGTGTTTATACTAGGCTACTCTTTAGAATTATCAGCAGTTACTTCAGATCCATATATATATATCTGGGCATGGTAGAACTGCAGTCAAAAGTACTTATATAGATTTTAAAGCAGTTGACATACGTATATGTAGATCGGTTGGTTTTTAGAACCATCGTGATAAGAATAAATTAAATGAAATAATGAAATAATGCACGTTAAAAGTTAAAAAAGCTACACCTGTAGAAAGGAGAGCCCGAATGTTTAAAAAAGTAAAACAAAAAAAGAGAGAGAGAGAGAGAGAGAGAAGAAGCTGTTGTGTATAACTGATTGTCTGAACGTTAGTTTAACTACAAATGAAATGAAACGAAAATAATAATAAAATAGGCGACCCTTTTCTTTGTCCAAAAATCAAATGAGTAGAAAACTAAGTGGAAAAGTTGGACAACAAGTGAAATAATTAGGAAGTTTAAATGGGCTATGTCGTTTGACATGTCAATTTACATTGATTTATTGTTCAATTAGCTATTTAACTTGAGGATATGTTTGCATTTTTCGTATTCAGATGAAAACAAAATTGCACTAGACGTTTTCTGCTTCTTTATTACTCCTTCCCTTTCTTGCTTTCCTTCCTTCCTTCCTTCCTTCCTTCCTTACTATTTTCCTAAGTTCTTTCTTTTGTTTCCTTTTTTTCTTTCATATCCTTCACTCCTTATCCATCGTCATTTTTCTTTCTCTTTCTCTTTTTCTTTTAGCAGTTAARGCATCTTTATTTTGGTCTAAGAGCCCAGCATTCGAGAATATTGCCGAGATAATCACTGGCATTTCTTCAAATCCTACATGCTGTATTTCCTTTGAAATGTTTAATTTAAAATGTTTTTGTTGTCCACCTGATATCTTCAATTATTCCCTGATGGTGTTATAATATTCTTTTGCATAAAGATGTTATTCTATTCTTTTGYATAAATTTTACATGTATTATTCTGGACAGAAATTCTGTCTTTATTCAGTCTTGAAAAGATTCCAGTAATATTCATGTAACAACTCAGTGATATCAATGTTTTATTGTTTTTTAACCAGTTTTCAAAAGCCATCCTATTGTCATATAGCTAAAAAGGARCCTCTGGCGATGCGGTAATATTTCGGTATTCACGTTTTAACCTTCTCAAAAACATCCAGTCGTTAACGACATGTTCAGGATAATTAAAATGACAATAGCAACTTAGACTAGCAGGTACGAAACGTTTAGATCATTCTAACCTTGACATACGAGTTCAATGATAATAAGTCGGTGCACTTTGAGCAATGAGGAGGGGGGTCTTAGAATTCTCCAGATTGGAAAGGAAGACGTAAAGCCAAGAAAAGAAAAAAGARAGAAAGAGACAGGAAAGCGATATTTTACGAATTTTAGGAATCCGATTCAGTATAYATTTCTAATGCTGCCAAAATAACCTTCATCCTCAAGTAAAAAAAACAACAACATTAATTCATGTAAAATTAGCAACTCAATTTTCTTTAGTTTGGTGTTTGTATCATCAGCTTTAGCAGCAAACKATGGGAGGCTTTGCTGAAGCCTGATTACTACCTTCCTCGTTCAATGTATTAGAAATCTCATTATGTTTTGATAGATATTTTGAGTTTCATTAGATGCAGGAAGACGTATATGGCGTGACATCACCCAGTTCCCTAACGTCCTCATACAACTCGCATTCAAAGTATACATTTTTTAAAAATATTGTAGCCCTCCTGTCACTCAGCTAGCAATTTCATGACCTTCCTATTAAGTCAAAAAGAAAACAGCTTTCGTCAAAATATGGAGTTCCGGTTCCATTTTGTTCCAATTCTCCTATTGCTACGGCTATATCGATGCTTTGCCCGGATCCAAAATTGATTGATTTTTTTTCTACTGCCTTTTAACTTTTTTCCTAACTTTGTTCTAAGGTTTCTTCGGACAAATGTGGAGAATCCGCTTTGTTTGTACTTTTTTTCGRTTTTCTTGCCAATATGTATAACTACAATGAAAAGGTCTCAGCCGGCCAATATATCATTGTAATTCTCATAAATAAAATGTGYGTGGTCATAAACATTTTCTCGAATGATTTCATGAGGCTATTCACGTCTTCCCTCGATATTGTTTTACCTTTATGCAGCACGAATAAGTTAAAGCTAAAAGTTCTTTGAATATTGTTATACTGAATTATAACTAATCATGATAGGCAGATACTTCTCCGCGTTGATCTACACCAACATTTTTCTTTCAATTCCCATCTTTTCACCCTAGAAACATTTCCTACCTTTGTGTAGTACGAATAAATTGAAAGATCTCGTGTAGTATTGTAATTACGACTAATCAAGATTAAAATGTGTTCATTTCTGGAACATCTTACTTCGGTTCCGTGTTCCGTTTAGCCAACATGGTCCAACATCCTCTCCCCCACCCCCATTTGCTCTGCTCATCCCTCCAACGACAGACACGAATCTTTTAACCTTGATCCCCAGTTGTAAACATTATTAAGCATTCACTTACTTTAGATACATTCTCAAAACATTTTCTTTCCAGATAAGCACAATTAGAAATATATGAAATTTAAATTAGGATTGACATGTTTCTAGTGATGTACCTGTTACCATGGCTCGCGAATATCTTATGTTCAGAATATATTGAAATTTTTTTTGCTAAAACAAATTTATCCATTTGATAAGATTTTGTAACGTGAACTTCGAAAAGGATTATCAATTACTGTTTATTCCTTTTTTGGCTGTCTTTAAAGGATAGTGCACGATAGAGGAGAAACAAAAATTAATGTAATTAAGAGTTCAGCCTGCAAGGGGAAAGGCATAAAAAAAACTAGCACTTGTTTGTCTTCATCTTCTAAAAGTTATCCAGATGTGCATCCAGTGAACCGACCGAAGCAAAAAATAAAGTTTTTTTTGTCATTTTAAGACAGATTTTAAAACATTCACTGATGATATTCAAGGTTGGAATTATAGGCTGATCAGCTAAAATGGGCTTCAAATTATTTTATGACATGACGTTGCAAATTGTGGCCGCCGCGCGCTTTATATTTTTTTCCCGCGCTCCTTGACTCGCAAAACAGGAACTTCTTTGTAAATATCCTAACCTTTTTGTGTTCGTTTGCACTAAGGTTTAAGTTGAAACTACCTTCCAACTATCCACAACTTTTTTTCTTCTGCATGAATTCGTGATTAGGAATATTGCGATATACGTCTGGCCTCCTAAATAAAGACATTTCTAAAATTTTCTATCGCTACATGAGAGCGTAATGATTTTGCTGATCTTTAGACTATTTAAAGAGACAGAAGATGACGTTATCTTTCTCCTTCTCCATGTATTTTCCTACCTTTTCAGTCGCTGGAATTGTATTTGTTCCTTAGAGGTTTTTTCTCGCTTCGCTGCCTCTTGCTCCAAAGCGCAGAAAATTGTCCTAAATGCCTTTTTTCTGTTGTTTGCTATATATTCGAATCTACTTAAGGTTTTAACGACCAGCATAAAAACGATCCGTGCAAAAACGGTTTCAAAAGCGGGAAAAAGTACCTTCTAAACGTGCGCATCAAGTTCCGAGGCTGAAGAAGACACGTGAAAAATATATCTATCTGTGCTATTTCACTGTGTTAGTCTCGATTAAAAAAACACACCTCGGGGTGTTTGTTTCTAAACTAATAGACAAAATACGTTCTGAAATAAGATCATTAATGTCGAAGTTTGAATGACAATCTACGAGTATTGCACAATACTTTTGTCCATAATATAATATAACAGGCGACAAACATGCATATCTATCGAGATAGGAGACTTGCAGTACAAATATACCCCATTGTATACCCCAACAATGGCAATGGATTAAAAAATAAGCTCCGTATCAATAGAATCAAATGACGTAATACTTATTCTCATGTTTCCTGGACACCGGGAGCCCAAACTTACATTTTTAATTCGCCATTTCAATATAATTAATACATCCACGGCACGGAATGTTGTCTGAAAGGGAAAAAACTGAGAATTCTAGTCTAAAAGGAAAATGCTATTGACTGTGAGAGAAGTAGTTTTAGTAGCATTTACAAAGGGCTGAATCAAATACTATAAGCTCTAGCATGGGCTCCCTGTGTTAGAGCTAATTTAAACTTTAAAGTGAAAATGTACTAAACGGATGTACGCCACTGCCACTATTTTGACGAAAAATAACAGACAATTTAATAATGCTGCCTCTCCTGAAAGTGCGCGCGTGGTGTGTACTCTCTTAAAGCACGCACTCCCAACCAATCAGAACGCGAGATTTCTAAAGCTATTTTTTATAACTATATATAGATATCAGTGTAAACTCTAGAAAACCAAAAAATCTAAGAATTAGYGAATAAATATAAAATAGATTAGTCTATAATTGAAAATGATTGAAAATGAAGACAAAAGACAGCTAATTAGAAAATATCCCCATTGACGTAGATAAGGAATTGTCGATAACCAAACTAAACAAGAGYAACAAATATGAATGACAACCTTCACGAACTGACATCTGCATTAACAAATACAAGTGATTAAGATAACGTAACTACTACAGATAAACTGACCAACCGCATCCTTAAACTAAAAATATGTGATCAAACGATTATTACTACATAAGTTTACATATGAATACTGTAAAATATCAGTTACAAAAACATTACTCTGCTAACACAAATATCCTTCCAGATATAAATCTCCCCACCCCAACCCTCCGCGTTCTTAGTTGTCGTGTTTATTTATTTGATGAAACATAAGAACATAAGATAAAGAAATGACCGTTTTCTCTTCATTCCAAACTCTTTTTCATCCCAGTTATAATTAGCCCTCCAGGTTATGTAAACTATTATAAGCACATGAAAAAAACTCTTAAAAATCAGTATGACCCCAGGGTTTATAACCTGGATCTTACGGTAGCCGCCTTAAACTAAACTGATTAAGAAACGTCCCCATAATAAAATTTACATAATTCTTTCACACATGAAATACAGCTATTTCAAAAACGATGGTGAAGACAGTTTCGTTGCATGTTGCTTACTAAGCATTAAACTGAAATGCATTATATTCATAAGTAAATATCAAGAGAAAGGTTGAAATTATGCCGGAAAAACGTTCACACAAAGTTCAGGAAATTTTATATTGTTGTGAAAAAAATGCAGACCGCCGGCAACGCAGGCTAATTGTTGTGACTTTCGCTGATTGTATTCACATCACCCATAGTGCATTACGGGCTCGGTATGCAACAYGCARCAAAACCTTCMTCGACCTTYTTKGRAATAGCTGTATAASAAGCARGTYTGCTCTGCACGACYGAATAACAAACGATAAATAACTAATAATATRATTACTAACATTGTGCRTATAAAAGCATCATATCGACAACGCAAAACACTTGCCTGAAGCTTGAGAAACATYTGCGRGAATAACTTWGACACAAAAATGATACTCACACAAACATATTGTTGTGCATTTGGAATCCTGATACTAAACTTATACACCTAATAGCAGGAACATTGCTAGCCAGTGACTATTAAGTGTTACAGGTATTTTTAAAAAGACATTTGTGGAAATACTGACTATGACACAAATCATGACTTTTTATTCTAACCATTAGGATCCAAACACGAACCAATCCCATTTGGTTGTACATTTGAAATCAGCCTGATTCTAAATGTATACGCCTAATTGCAAGAACATTGTTATACAGAAAGAACTAATAACAACCTAAACAGGAATTGATTAGAAATATATTCTTATGATTTTGATCCTTAAATCCCCTAGATTGATAAAAATAACTGTTCTAGYATACACCAATTTCAAAAAAACGTCGGTCGGATATCTGAAATGGGCGATCTGAGACTAAACGGAAAATTTGGCTTTAATGTATTCTGACCAAAATACGAAAAATCTTGCATCAATATTCCTATCTCGGCAAAGATTATGCTTCATATTCCAATCTAAAAGGAAAATACGTTGTTTGGCTGTGAATATATTATATTTTGTAGCGTGTTAATCAGTCTCGGACCGACAAGGTTTTTTTAAAACAGATATATACCAACAAGGTAAAATCGCGAATATCAGTCTCTACCATCAAAACAGTGAAATAATTACCACTTGTTTTACTTAAAAAATAATTCCTATTTGTAATTTTGTAATTTTTTATCTTTTTATGACAGCGGTTTTTGCAGTTAGGTGTAGTACTACGCAATATAGTAACCAAGAAGAAAGCGCAACTGAGCACTACTCATACACAATAAAACTATCATCAGCAACAACCTTATTTAACGTTTACGTTTTAATGATAGATGTGTTGATCATCACAGTGAATGAGCGATCTAAGCGAAYGCTGTAAAGAAAGACCTGAAAAAATKATTTAAGGCTTCAACGGGAATCGAACCCATGACCTCCGCGATGCCGGTGCGATTTACGTTTTACTGGACTTTAACGTTTCTTCACTGGCTGTAATACTACAATATAATAACCAGGAATAAAGCGCAACTGAGCAACACTCATACACAATAAAACTATCATCAGCAACAACCGTTTTACTGGACCTTAACGTTTCTTCACTGGCTGTAACACTACAATATAATAACCAGGAATAAAGCGCAACTGAGCACTACCCATAATAAAAATTGAACTTAAAACAATAAAATTACCAACGACAACAAAACTTATATCCGAGTGATATAAAGAGAAATGCCATCACTGCAGTTTTTCTTATAAGGCAGATRTCGAATGACCCGGCTCCGCCTTCGTAGATGGACGTAAAACTGAAGGTCGGGATTAAAGTGATTTCCTTTGCCTAGCTGAAAACTGTATTCCAAATGAACCCTGACGTCTTCCTGTTAYGTACAAGTCACGATCAATCATACATGGACTTGTGGGAGCCATATATAGAAATTAGCTTCTTCGAATTGATTTGTTCTGTGTTTATTAATGATCAAATTACTTACCTTTTTCCTTAATGAGCCAAATAAATAATTCGATAGGCGCAGTCTGTTTCAATATATTGRGGTTAGGTAAAATATAGAATAGACATGACAGTAATAGATGTTCCTGTATTTATACTTTTATATATAAATACGCGAACCAATATGAATATATCTGACGGTGGCGCGAACGGACAGYCCGATATTTACTATATATATACTTTTAATACCTTTTTGCAACTGAACTGCTTAGCAAATAAATACTAGAATAAATTCTTGACAAAAACTTGGTTTCTACTTTGAACGATATTGTATTTTCTTTATACAATGCARTCATAAAAAGAATAATCATAGATAAAAAATGAGACATTGTGTTGAGACAGTGACGCTAAGACATTACTGAAGTGATATTCAAAACTAAATATCGAGAGATCTTTAAGAGCGCTTTGTTTTTTTCCTCTGACGTCTTCTGAGTGATGATCAATTATTTCGATCTCAGGAGTTTTGTTAAAAGCCTTAAAAATAGCTTGCACTGCAAATATATGGTGCCTTAAATTTCTATAGGTCTAGGTTATAATTCGATCTCAAAATATACTTCTAATAATTGTTTATTGAGGTCCATGTAGTGTTTTAAAAGTAAGGTGATTTTGTAAGAGATACAAACCGATCACGTCGAAAATATCCCTGAAATGTTAACATAACAGTCGATAAAATCACCCTATCGTTAGGTTTTTATCCAAAAAGGAATATCAACATCGATAAGTGAAACATCTATTTTCGTATCATTTTGTACGCGATTCATTTTCAAGGTTATTTTCCTTTTTCGTATATGATGCGATTCTTTTAGAATAAATTGCGCCCTGGAGACAAAAGTCTGTGTTTTTAGCTCTTGATCCGTTAAAAAAGCACACCTTCCGTCTAGTAAGCCAGTAAACGTGGGACAAGATGGGGATTTCCGCGAAAAGTTGATTCTTTCGAATTCTAATCGCTATTGAATCTTGCTCTACCTCCTTCAGTCAAATAGCGTGTGTGCTTGAAGTATCCGTTGCCTTGACTTACTGACCCAGGCAGATCTCTCACTGAGTTAACTTGGTAGCTATAGATCAATATACTGAAGCTAGCTAGAATCAATACATTGGTCACTGTACCTGCGATTGAACGATAGCTCCCCTTTCTTGTCGTTTCGCGTGGTTGACGATTGGTATATCGCTGAGCTTCTCMCTCACTGACTGACCTAGTACTATGGTTAATCATGAAATAGTTAAAAGCCACACCTTTGTAATCKCTAAGCCATATATTATAACCGCAATATATGTACCAATACCTGAAGTTGTTCTTTTCAAATCTAATCAGAATATGTCGCACAAGAGACGGCTGGTCTACAGTGACCGCATGAACAACAGAATATTAATGTGTACATCAGAAACGATAAAGCACTTTTTAAAAAAAACTGAACAATGTTGAATGTTTGTGCCTTGCAACCATCAATTAACCAACGAGAAACGACGTCAGTTTATTGCATAAAAGGTTAGCACTCTTTAATTATTTATTGTTGTCATTCGAATAGCTRTCACCGAAATTTTCTTCAGCGACTTTGGCTGGGGTAGACTGAAAACAAAACCATAGAATGTTCTTTGTTTGGATT